CAAAAACAGAGCACATTACTGCATCACTCCTCAGGACTCAATAGCCCTAACTTGTGTTCCTTTTCTCTACTGTCTAGAGTCTTATACTTGTCTTATACATAATATCTGGGGTTTTTAGTTGGATTTAGCAGGAAGAAGAGCAAAACATAGGTCTATTCCATCTTCCTCAAAGTAGAATGTGCTGTCAGCTCTTTTTTATAGGATGATCCACATAAATATCCTTGTAAGTTTTTTAATGATGACACATGCATCCTTTGCTGACTGCCTAGAAACCACACAAATAAGCACTTCGCAGTGTTGAGTCCAGCCTTCAGCCTTACATGTAGAGATTAATTTTGTCAGTCCCTATGGTGTTTGAGTTCAAGGTGACTGATTCAGGCTAAAAATATTCATAAGAAGATGAAGTATACAATCAGACAACCAATTAATTCATAATGATTATAAAATTTTATTTCTGAAGGTTAGATAGTGTCTGGCTGGACAGTACATTCATAGTAAGTGGCGCTGAAGAAAGGATTGCTTAAATAGCCTCATAATAGCTTTCTTTTGGTATAATTTTGTTGCTTCCTGCTTCTTAAAGTGTTCACATTCAATGGAGAATAAACTATAATTTAGAATAGTATTTGGGGATTTACACAGTTCAGGATTTATCCATAGAGAATACTTTATTTCAGATCGACTTTATTTCAGACATTTGATGGCATCGAGCTCTTAGAACGCAGCTTATGAAGCTCCGCAGTAGGCACACTTGCCAGTGAGTTGTAACAGGTCCAGCTTTGTGCCCAGGCACCCTCACTCATAAACATTTCTTTGACACTGCCCGTTTCCTCTGTGATTTCTCCTTGCCTACAAACCTTCCTTGTGTAAACTCTTTTATTTGTATACATACTAGTGCCTTAAGGCAGTTTACTGTCAGGCTTGCTGTCTTAGGAGTCATTTTTTTATAATAATAGTTAATGCGGGGGCCATAGTCCCCTCCCGCCAACCCCTCTTCTCATGGTTGGGCTCTAAAAGGAAGCCCTGAAATGCAGATGTCAGCCTTTCTGGAGAGAGGGTACATAGTTTTCATCATATTCTCAAAGTAGTACATGACCCAAAAAATCATTATGACCCACTAATACATGTTTTTGCTTTGTTCCGTTGTGTATATATAGTTTAAATCTCTTACAAGCCACCTTACATTATTATCTACTGAAGGCTTATTATTATTATTGCCAATTTTTAGATACTTTTCCTATAACTGAAGATATTAAAATTTGATTTTTTGTGTGTGTTCTTTACTTTTTACTTAATTATTCAGTTACCTAACTATGTATATATTTCGTCTTTGACATGCAGAAGTTTCAGCATTTGAACACAAAGCAATTTATTGCTCTATCTTTTAGTTGTTACTTTTAACCGTCTTGTCCTAGACTGTTGTCCACAATACAGAAATACTACACAGTTTAACACTTGTGAATTGTTTTTTTTTTTTTTTGCTGAGACCACTGCAAAATTGAGCTTTGGCAAGAGGAAGGTGTTATATTCATGCGTCCTTTAATTTATATGGAACATAAAGCTTATTTCTCTAAAATTTCCCTTTTTCTCTATAAGTATATTGATTAAATTGTTTAATAAATACATTGAACATTTAAACAAAGAGAAAAGGTGTTCAAAAAAACAACAATCTTAATGTTAAAAAAGTTATGAAAGATACATTGTGTTTTTTTTTCAAATATTTTTTTCAGTTTTTCTGTATATACATACATCTTTGTGACTTTAATGTGTAGAATTTAGGTTGGTGTATTTAATGCAATGTTTTTTGCTTAGCTCGATCACTATATTCTTTCAGTATATAAAGCCTTTAATGCCCTGTCAATGCAGAAATAGGTAATTATTGCTGTTAGGATGGTCTTTTGACATTCTTCCAAGGTTCACTGAGCTGAGCAATGTGCCACCTTCAACAGTAGCCTAGAAGAACTAGAATTGCCATAGTGTTAAGTGTTGGGCACATTAGTGCCAATTGTGCCCAGCCTGCTTATAGTTTTATGACTCTCAGATTGCTCCCCATGTTACATTTTGTGATGGTTCTGAAATAGCTTGCACAGCAGATTCTCTATAATTCATTACTCAAACAGAAAAAAAACATTACTTCATAATGCATCTTAAGTATTTTATATCTACTGCCTAGATTCTTTAAGTGCACTACAGATGTGCTGTAACTAATAAGGCTTCTGCATTGATTTAAGAGAATCTCAAAAGAAGCTATACTAACTAGATGGAGAGCATCTTGGATAAAAAAGAATTGGAACTAATACTAAATAAGTAAAGACTATGGCTGTATTCCAAAACCCAAACTGGTTTTAAATACTGTTACAAGAGAGAAGGGATAGTCATTTACCATCAACAGTATTTACTGTTCCTATTCAATTAAATGACTTAGATTTTATGAACAAATATTACTACAAAAATTTTTCTTAATTTCTCACACTATTTTTATCTTTATATGTAGTTCTAGGCATAACACTGTTAATAATTACCCTACTTGTTTAAGAAAAGTAAAAATACTTAAGAATAGAGAATGCATATAAGTATATTATTTAAATGAGGAAAGTAGTGACTCCATTATTTGCACCTTTTCATAATTAAAGAAAATTTTTTAAATTGGGTGAAATATACGACTCATAATTTAATACACATAATTAACGAGGAACAGTGGTTAATTTTGAAAACATGTTAGTTTTAGCACCTTAAAAAATAAAAATATTCACAGACTTAATAATATTAGTCTTTTAAAAAATGCTGTAATTAGCTAATTTTCAAAAGCAACTATTGGACATTAAAATTTTATAAGTTGATGAAACAATTACAAAAATATTAATATTTCCAATATTCTTTCATCAGTGTTGTCTAAAACGGGTACCCACTTATGAAATAACACATACATCAAATCTGTTTCTTTTCAAAGTAACTCATAAAAGCAAATTCAGCATTATGTATTGTAGGCGAACCTTGTGGAGGCAATTTCACACATGTCTGCTGCTGCAGGAAATCTCACACACTTTTGTCAGCATTTGACTGACAGGCAACACTGTTTTATTTCCCTTAGTAGAAAAAGGAGGGTGTGTGGACATAACAATACCATAATAGTTTTGGACTATGATGACTATTTGAGGTTGTTTGAAAGATGAGATTCCCTTAAAATTATTGAATATGATTATGTATGTGGACTCTTAATAAATACAGAACTGAATCTGAGGCAGCTTTCAAATCCAATGTAGATGTTTATAGCATTGTACATTACCTTGATTTATATGTTCATTTGGAAAACACTGTCAATTTGAAAAATATTCCTATCATGTGGAATGTACTTCTTAAAACTGTCCTGGTTCCTCTTTCTTTGTATTTCTTCTTAGCCTCCTTTGGATTGTCTCTTTTTACTTGCCCCTTAAAAATTGGTATTTCCTAAGATTCTGTTCTAGGGTCTCTTTCCATGCTACATATTCTAGATTATTCTTGCAGTTGTATCTACTGCCATGGTTTTCCCAGATGTCTTTCTTCTACTTGAACGTTCATTATCAACTTTCAACTTATCTACCCAATTCTCTACGTAACATCTCATAGATGTCCTAGGCAATCCAACAGCATGTTCAGCATTAAGCTTATCTCTTTCTCCTCACATTTCCAATAAACTCTCCCAAGGAAAAAAAAAAGGAATACATATGCATATCCATATAGAATATGGACACATATATATGCAAATACATAAAGAGTGTGTGTGCTTCTCCTGTTTGGAAAGCCCATTACTAATAAATAGCAGATTTGGAATTTTTGTTCAAGTCCTGTGAATGTGAGCCCTCAGCTCAGAATGTACTCTCTATAATGTAAAGACTGTATTTTCTTAACCAGAATTTAAGATGTAGGGTCTGACAATATTTGAAGCCTAAATATGTTATTGCAGTTATACCACGTTGCTTTTTCATGTCCTTTATTAAGTCATTGGCACATGATAACACAAATAATGTAAAATTGTAATTATGATAAGTACAAGATATATATAGCATAAAGTATATATACGTACATTGTGTGTGTGATTTGATCCAGTTAGATCAGATAAATTTTCCCTTTCAAGTAATGATTAAATTCCATGTAAAGACTGAGTTATTCATTAAGGGGGATGGTACAGAGGGAGAATGGAGGAGTGTTCAGGGCACGTGTGATAGCTTACACCAAGTTCTGGTGGTGGGGAGGGTACACGCTATGTGTGAGCAGCTGTCTCTGTGTCAAGTGCAGTCTTGTACAGATTTTTCCCCCTCATTTTTTCCTTCCCCCTTTTTTGCTTCCTTATTCTAAAAAAAAATTCCTAAAATTTTCTTTAAAAAACATTTATATTAAATAGACAGTAATAGAAAGCAAAATGTAATTGTTTTTCAAACTTTGTCGTAGACAATGATTTGGATTAGAGGAACCACAAGTTTTAAGGAACAAATATAGCCAGGACTTACCTGTAATGCAACACCCACAAACCTTTTCCTCTTTGGTGCTGCTTCTACTCTTATTATCTAAAACCACACCAGCATTTACAATGATAAACCAGGAAGTAAGTAAATCCTAAGTAGTAAGTTTCAAAATCTTTGCCTAAATTTAAAGTGATTTATTTTCTAAGTGCATTGTTTACTGTGAAGTTTAGTATGCCATGCAATGTGCCTTTGTTTGAGAATTAATTCAGGCTGTAGAAATTCTATTAGAATGTAAAGTGATTTTTGAACTACACTGAAGAACTCACTGGTCTGTGGTATTCTAACCTTGATAACTGTTTATTCTTTTGTTTTTTTATATGCACATGTATTATCCTTCAAAAGTAGTTCTGAAATTTTGGTCCTCAAAACACTTCTTCAAACTGCTCTTACCTGTTTCTTGAATAGTAAAATTATGTTCCAGGAATAGGATATTATTTTCAGTGTTTTATATCTTCCTTTAGGGTCTTTAAAAACTGAGTTCTTACCTGTTTTTCTTTACAGAAAGGGCTATTGCAAGACATGAAGTCCGAGAAATTGAGCAACGACATACAATGGATGGCCCTCGGCAAGACGCAGTTTTAGATGATGAAGAGGACATGGTGATCATTTATAACAGAGTCCCCAAAACTGCGAGCACCTCTTTTACCAATATTGCCTATGACCTGTGTGCAAAGAATAAATACCATGTTCTTCACATTAATACTACCAAAAATAATCCGGTGATGTCACTGCAAGATCAGGTAAACACTACTTGGGGAATAAATAAATGTTTTCTGACACTTCACATTCAAATTTTAGGACAAAATATGTGAAGGAATATATGTACTGATCCCAATGAATTATAAGTCTCTTGGGGGAAGGGACCAACCAAACTTTTCTATAATTTTACACTCTTCATAGTATTTGGTATGTTTCTTTGCATATAGTATGTATTCAAATGTTTGTGAAATAAATGCATTAATTAATAGCTTGAATTTTTAAAGAGATACTCTTTAAATATGGTAGGTATACTTAAATATGGAGTTAAGTATTTATACTGAAAATATGGATACTCTATAAATATGGATACTCTTTAGTATGTTATCCTTTTAAAAATATGAAATATTTTTAGCAAGATGCCCTGCAATAAAAATCATTATGTTTTCTCAGCTTAAGATAGAGAAATCTTTATTTGCTGAGTACCTGTAATCTATATGGCTCAATTTTGTGATTAGCCTCCTGAATTTCATCTTATCTTTACTAGTAATTTATCTGAATATTAGCTATAAACTCCTGGAGAACAGAGATTGTGGCGTATATTTTTAACATAATCTTGCTTTTAAGTTATCAAGAAACTTTAGATAAATGAATAGATAATTTAAAGAAATTTTTTAAAGAAAAGTAGAGGAAATTTTCTCATTAAGTGAAATTTACTCATGCCTTAGCAGTGGTAAGCACATATTTTCCCCGTATCTGGAGTTCTGGCTCAGATTATAAATAAAGTTCTCTCTAAAGTGAAGAGAATGAGACTTGGCTCCCATAAGAAGAAAAAATAACATTTGAAAATACTGTCTAGCATCAAATACCAAATTGGGTAGCCTTATTAGAAAGGTATTTGTAATAGTCATATAGTTAGAATGTATTTATCTGTTTGAAAACTGCTGAATTTTATTGTTGTAGAACTGACTGTTGATCCCACTATTTTGTATACCGATAATCCCTACACTGAAGCAAGGGAATACCATTGATTCACAAGATTAAGTTTCGTTTTCTTGCTAGAGAACTGCTTATAAAAGCTAATAGCATGTGGCATATCATCTGCCCATATAATTCTTGGCTCTCTGCATATCCTCAATCATTCTTTTTCATAGAAACAAAAATCTACATCAATCAGCTAAACCATATAACTCTTCTGTAAATGAGAAGAAACATGAGCTTATTTAGTTAAGTGGGTCATAAAAACTGTTCATTATGTAATACTATGTATCTCAAGGGCAAGTATCCTAAATAATCATTTTTACACAGTGTGTCGTAGATTTTAAATCTATTTGCATGATTGCTTTTTAGAATATATCTTAGTTTAAAAGGCACGTCGCTTAATGCTAACATAATTTTACATAATTTTTTATTTCTTCAGTAGTATTTTTTAGAAAAATAAAGCTGCCTTGCTTGATCAATTTGTATAGTTGTGTCCAATATTACAAAGTTGTATGGCAGTTACAAGATGTCTGACAATGATACTGACCATTTTTTTAGTGAAATATAAGACTATAGATGTTTATCACATAATGATATTTATAAGCATCGTGTAGTGGTACATTTTCCCAGTTACATTTGAATGAGATAAAGCTACTGCTTTTCTTTAAATAGCTTGTTAGTTACATATAGGAAAAAAATCAAAAGAGAAGCATAAACACTATCTTAAAAACAATTGGATTACATACTGAATAATACTTAAAATATATTTGTTTGGGGCAGAGTACAGGAATAGTCTTAATCATTAGCTGACATACTTCAGAATATCAGCTGGTAGTTTAAAACAAGGTCTTAATTAGGAATGGCTTATATACCAAATATTTTCTAATATACAATATCTAAATTGTTTACTAATCTCTTGTTCTATATAAACAGTTCTTCAAATAAATCATAATTACTGCTTCCCTTTGCTTTGCATGACATATTAGAGAATGTTTTTATTTCACTTCAATTTCATAAGCTTTATCTAAATGTAGATTTCTAAATTATACTAGATGCCTTGAAAATAATTTTTAAAATATTCCCCCCATTGAATCCCATCTTGTATAACATACTGTGGTTTTGATATCGTATTTTTGTTGTCTTTGGGTACTGTTCTCATTGCCTTATTATTTAAATGGGAATTAAATGACTGATTTTGCTCCACTTCTTCTCTGAGAAACAGTTTCTAATCAGATACTGACTCAAGTGAGACTTAGATGAGATTTTTATTAAACCTACTTTCATCCCGATCTTCCACTTAAAGCCCAGTTAACTCACAGAAATGCTTTGGGATATAATAGGTGACCACACTTTTTATTCCCATGTTTTCCAGCCTCAGCAGTGCAGTCTGCTTCATGTCTGCCTGCAGCCCCAGCTCTTTCCTAGACACATTTTGTACATACTGCACTAGGCACTGTGCTAAACTGTTTACATGCTTATTATTTCTCCCCAAAATTATAGAGGCAAAGCCAAAATATTTTTAGTTTGACGTAAAACCATTCAATGTGTTATAGCTATGCATATCTGCCATCCTTAGAAACAGTTGTCAACTCTGCTTTCAAGTTTTATTTATTGAGTCCGTAGTATACAGAGAGATTGTGCTACATTCCCTGGGGAAATGCCAAAGAAATAAAGAGCAAGGTCACATCTTTTCAAGGAGTTTATTTATAATGGGGAATGTAGAACATAGACACGGGAGCTGTGAGGACTTTAAAAGAAAGCATCAACTTACGGTATTCTCACCAACCTGGAAAAATCTGTATTGTAGAACATTCTGTAGAAAAATCGTCTAGTACTCTTCTAAAGTATCAATTTGATAAAAATCATAAAAAGACAGGGTTGGGGTGGGTGGGACAGTCTTCACTAGAACAGAGAAGACTAAAGAGACATGAAAAACAAATGCGATGTGTGATCTGTGATTGGATACTTGATCAGAAATGTCTGCTACTTGCAAATGGTTCAGAAAAAGTGTGTGTGTGTGCATAGAAAAAGAGAGAAGAAAGAGATAAATAAAATGTTTACAAAATGTTAACAGTGAATCTTGGTGACAAATGTACACATGCTGACTTCTTTCAGCTTTTCTGTAGTTTAGGAATTTTTTCATAATGAAGAAAATGGGATAAAATAAGAGAAAAAGTTAGGACAATTAAAAGATAAACATTTGAGAATAGAAACATGAGAAGACAAATAAGAATGAGATGAACTCATTCAGAAGAGTTATATTTTTGAGATGGGCTTCACTCAGTAGATAGGTATTGGTGGAAACAATCAGCTCTTCTAGTTGGAAAATGAAGTTCACTCTGCTCTCATGATAATAGCTCTACATTAGACATGTGAGTGGCAGCATCTTTTATGACCTTAATTCTTTTCTACTCTCATCTCTTTAGGTCTGTGATTGTATTTAACCCCTTTCTACGACATTGGAAATATCCAGAATTTCCATTCTCTGTAGGACATCATTGTTTTTTTTTCTTGTAATTTACTGTTAAGCCAACTTCTGGTCAATGGCATCAAGAGCCCTTGGCTTGATGTTAGTTACAGATCCTGATTTTTCAGAGAAACACTTTAGAGGAATTCTTCTGAACCTGTGAGGTGTAATCACCACTTAAAAGGCAGATTCCAATTCAGAAGGACTAAGATGGAGCCTGATATTCTGATGTTCTAAAAAGCTTCTACTTGTTGCCAAAATGGATGCTTCTGATTGAACCACAGTTTGAGTAGCAAAGATCTAGAATGTAATTGTCAGTGGGGTTATGGGAAGATGCATTTTATAATCTTCCCAGGATAATGAAGTGGTTGTCTTTAAATTCATATTCCCAACTCCCCAGCAAAACCCAAAGTACTTATCTAAGCCACCAGGCCGTTTTAATCTAGCCCTTGTCCATTGCTCCAATATTCTAGCCACTCTGGCATTTTGGTTCATTGAGTTTACTACACCTTTCCCACTTAAAGACCTCTGCACTTCCATTTCCTCTTAGAGTGAGTGCACTTCTAGCTTCTTAAGATTGGCTTCATGTCACCCATTTAAAGTTTCAGCTTAAGTGATATCTTCTTAGAAGAACCTTACTAGCCATCATATATACATTAAATACCTCTTCCAAGTTGCTGTGTACTATCAGTTTTTCTGAATCTTTCCTGTTACTTATGAATTTGTTTACTGATGGTCCCTCTGTTACAATACAGGCTCCTTAAGGGCAGGAGCCTTGTTGGTCTTGTTCACCACTGTGTGCCCAGAGCTTACAACAGTGCCAGAGACAGTAGATTCTCCATATATTTTTTTGTTGTTGAATGAATGAACAAATGAACCAACATGGATTCTCAAAGTTCATGGCTAAGCATAGTACTGTGATAATTACTCTCAGAATGAGTCCTTCTGATTGAAGAGAATATGATCAACCATTACCTCAGGTGATTTGGGACACATATTCGACCTCCACAAAAAAAGGGCTGAAAACACAATTCTGAACTTTAGTGAAGATACCATGTTCTATTACGGCTGAATATTTCTTACATTTTATACAACTATTACTCAGTTTTCCTCTCTGTGAAGATGACTTCCTCTCCAATCTCATAAAATTACCCATGGCTCTACTGTGAGTGAGTATATACATGAGTAGGAGTTTGGTATATAGTAATTACCCAAGCTAATAGTAGTAGTCATTCAATAGGTAGTAATTGCAGAGTTGGAATGTGGCCAGGATGTACAGGATGACATTCCTCCTTGCAGATAGTGAAAACAAGCTCCTCTGTGATCACAGATAATCATAATGTTAAGATTAATCTTATTAAGAGTGCAGGTCTAGATACACTGTTGGTGAGAGGGTACTTTCTTACTCTAACAGTGGTTCAGGTCTGATTCAGCGAACAAGTAAATCACAACACCACTCCCTACACTGCTTATGTTTTCCCTGAAGGTCTCTTCTGTTTACTTGATAGCTTGTAGTTACAAAATCTGCTTTGAGTTACAAAATCTGACAAAAATCAGTTTAGGATCTGCTCCAGGATAGCCACAAAAACATCTCTTTTCATGTACTATATATAAGAACTACTTCTGAAACATCTTTCTTGATAGTCTATTTCAATCAAAGTATGGAAATTGTCTTTGAATTAAGTTACTATGGTTACTGATTTTCTCCCCAGGCTGCAGTTGTCCATCTCCTTAACTTCACTTGATGCTATTAGTTTTGCTGCTTTTTGCCAATCACTTTCCTTTTCTTCAGTGCCACGTATCATCAGTAAGAATCCATAAAATGAACTGAGTAGAAGCTTGCTTACCAAATGACCTCCATTTTACTCCTTAATATCCCGGAGCCTTTTCTCAAGGTCTTGCACAGAATGCCCGCTGTAGAGGGAAGCCAGAAGAGAACAAACTGAAAAATGAGGCAAGTGGTGCAAGAGAAGTGAGAAGGCAGGAAATGAGAGAGCAGGAGCTACGACTAGGCTGACGAGAGGGAGAAGTGCAGATGAAGAGAGGAGAGGCAGGGCCAGTTCTGGAGAACAGAGGACACATACTAAACATGGCTAAATTAATACTTGGAAAAGAAAATGTTTTAAAACCAAAGGTTGTTCAAAGGGCCGTAATTAGATTGGAGATCACATCTGAAGACAAATACAGGACTTTAGTAGTACGTAAATGACACTTCTGTGCTTAGACTCTTCTCCAGGCTCTCTGAACCCCACATTAACCTTATTGACAGCATTTATTTGCTTAGCACTTTTCACTTCCCTATGAAGGGAAGGTAAATCTCAGCTCTGCATCTTTTGATTTATTGCAAATTGTAAATCTTTTGATTTATTGCAAATTGTTAATCACAGCTTTATTAATGAGGCTTTAACATATTGCCTTCGTTAAAGGTTGATGAGATTTAATTTAAAAATACATATGCAAATAAAGCATGGAACTTTCATTATTCTCATAGATGGAATTACAGATTCTGTGTGTTTTGGAGACTTTAATAATAATAGAATATAGAGAATTTAAAAGCAGTAATAATACATCTGAATTTACCTCAGAATGAATTTAGAAAATGAAATTCGAATTCCTACATAGACATTTAGTCTAGGCCTCTTAGTTTTGACCAGCAGTGTTCAGCAATGTCCAAGACAGTAAACAAGAATAGATCAGTAGTCATTGCTGAAAAATGATTTTCTGGTATGAGATTCATGAACATGGTGGATTGGAAGGTGAGATTATGATGAGTGCAATGAGGAAAATAAGCTGAGGGATACAGCAACAGAGCTTCGAGATCTTAGAGGTCGAGGAGTTTTGAGTGCCTGGTTCTGAGGGGTTTACTTAGCAGTGGATAAGATTGAAATTCTCAATGTCAGAGTTTGTGAGTCAGAATTATGATGTCTGCTGTACTACTGCCCTTTCAAGCCTTTCTGTTTATCCCCCTTGTTTAAATTTGACAACAATAAAGAAATTCGCTTGTGGTATGGAAGGGTGATTGAACCAGAATCTAAAATATGTGATTCTTGTTCTTCAGTTCTTACTCACAAATGATGTCAACGAGGTTAAAGTATGTGTTCTTTAGTTTCTTTATCTATAAAGAGTACAGCATTGCTAGGTCCCATCCCCGCCAAAATGCTGATGAGATACCGAGAGAGTTTGCAGTCGGCACCGTCATGCCTTGTTCTCTTCTCTGCCTTCGCCAAGTTCTTCGCTGGGTCCACTTGGTGGCACAGCCCTTTTTCTTATTTCATTAGTTTTTAAACTGTGCTGCTTGGGATGCTTTGGCCCCCCCTGTGCTTCAGGCATCACTGTGGGGGGCTGGGAGAGGCCAGTAGGCAGGTTCATTGTGCTTTCTAATGCAACCTAATTTTGTTAGCTACACTCAATTTTAAGATATTTAAAGGTTTATGTTTTGTTATATATTGCATTGTGTGTGTAAGATAATATTCATTCACTTCCCTTCTAAAAACGACGTTATTTTTCTTAGTATATAAGTTATTAATGCTTCTCTTAAAAAAACACATTCTACTCCCAGAACCTTGTTTTTCACTGGTCCACATCCTCTGTCATGGCTGCTTCTGCCCTGTATCCTTAGTCTGGGCTTCGAATAAACTTTATCCAGGAGACAGCCATCGTCATTCGTTGCTATTAATTTATTGATTATTCTGGTAAGAAGCACTCCACAGTATCTCCGTGTGCCTAACTCTTTAAAATATAAATGAAAGATTGATTAATTGTCAGAGGTATGCAGTGGGCAGTCCTGTGCTTTCGAGGCTGAGGTCACAGCTTGCAGACGCTTTCAGTGCAGTACAGGGTGGTGGGTCCACAACCCCTCATTTCATCCCCACCCCCTTGCCCACCTCCACACCATATCTATTCTCCAGAAGGAATTCTTACCCGCTTGCTGTTTTTCATGCAGAGATTTGCTTATCAAAAATAAATGCCATTTTCCTTTGAGCAATTGCATGTCACTGCTTTGCAGCTGGTAATACTTGGGTTTATCAAGTTCTTTATTAACCAGTTCTTAACATTTAAAAAAATATATTTATACTTAAAGAATTCTTCATGTTAACTTATCTTTTGTATACTTTCAATTCCAGTAAATTAAAATAGTAATATTTATATATTCAGTTTTTAAAATTTACTTATCACATCTCTAATTCTATTAATCTTTTTATCAACAAACTTATGATATCTGCTCTTATCTCTTTAAAGTCTTTGATAATCATCTTTAATGATTTTGGCTTAAGGATTAATATTTGTGTTATTTGTTGAGTCATTAATAAATAGGCATTTTTATAAATAACAAGTCTGAAAAGAAAACATTTGCGCAGAATATTGCTATACTGAAGTGCCGGCTCTTCAGCACATGTGTTGGTATCTACCATCCCCTTGTCCCATGTAAATGTGTTCACTAAATAGCATTATAAATTATTGCATTGTGTGAACTTCTTTTCAGGATCCTCTTTTCACCCATTTCAGAGTGTGGTGATAGTAGCTCTCTGTGTGCTGAATTAGTAATTACAGATCACACTATGCTTTCCTTAATTGAAACCTGTTTCTAGCTCTGTAATTGTCAAATAGGGTTGGCTTTATGCCTAAATGGAAAATATTTTGCTATCATCAAATTTAATTTTCTTTAAATTATTCTTAAGTAATGAGTGTGTTCTCCCTTTTTAGGTACGCTTTGTAAAGAATATAACTTACTGGAAAGAGATGAAACCAGGGTTTTATCATGGACACGTTTCTTACTTGGATTTTGCAAAGTAAGTTATAACCAAAATGATACACTAAAGAACACTTGTGCTTTAGCAACTTAAAAAGGGATAAATTCATTAAATTGTTATCATTTTGATGTATGTATGTATGTACGTATGTATTGGCTTGCCACTTTTAGATATGTAATTTAAATATACCTCTAGTATTTTACTGCCCTCTAGTGTTCATAAATTGATCATTGTCATTAATTTTAGAAATTAAGGTAGATTAAATGTAGGTAATATTCTTTAAAGTTACTTGTCGTTATTACATTTGGGTTTCTTGTACAACCAAATGACACTATTTAAGGAAAGCCCCAAGTTTTAACCTAGAGGCCAATCAGATTATGGCCTACCATGTCACTGACTGAGAACTGAGAAGCAAAGAAGCTCTCCCTCAGTTCTTGGTGTCCCAGTACGTCTGCTTCTCAGCCAAGACACAGTAAGCTGTGTACTTCCCCTTGGGCTACCTTGTTTTAGCTTTAAAAGTGTGATATATTCAAAAGAGACTTTAAAAAAATACAGTGATTTGTCAGACACTGGGTATAAATAACTCTTATTTTCTATATTTTGAGGGGGAAAGTGGGGTCAGGGTTTTTCTATCATAATTCTCTCAAGAAAAGTTGATGAAACTACAAGCACACCCTTAGAGTCTGTGCCACATTAGGGTACTAATCAGAAAACTAATCAAAAGGAGCATTCTAAAGAAATGTGGCTTGTGAATCTATCTGAATATTTTTTGTAGCACATAGAGTAATATTATAGAAAATCTCAAATCCAATTCATTTCCCTAAATAAGATTCTACACTAATTTCAAAAACATTTAAAAATTATTTTTGAAATTATTTAAGCCTAGGCATGTACACTCAGTCATAAGTAACAGTCATAATTTCAAATTAATACACTTTCATATATTTGTCAACTTTAAAGAGCATTCTGCATAAAATTTGAAAATTAAACTGATACCCCACTGTTACTTTAACTTCTTAAATTTAAAAAGTTGAATGAAATACTACTAATTCACATTAATAATCGTAATTTTTTTGAAAACCATATAATCAAAAAGGTCCCAAAAACTATATACATAAAACAATATATTTTTATTTCTAGTTCCTTCCACAGGACTCAAGATCTTTCAGTAAAATGGTAGCTTTAAAGTTAGATGTATGTTTTTGTATAAATAATTAATACTGCAATATTGAAAACATTTTATAGGCAGCTTTAAAATAAACTAATTATTTTTTCTTTGCTAGGCATTGAAAGCAATTTTGAAACCTTAATTCATATGCATATTTTCCCTCTGGTCTGCATTTTCCTCCAACTGAGTGTTTGTTACCTTCTCACCTAAATGATTTACTTTTCCACATACAACTTGGTTTCTAATACTTGAGGTTTTCATTATTAAAATAACATATTGAGTGCTTTTACTGTTGGCAAAAGTCTTTTACTTAGAAAGAAGCTCTATATGCTAGGGTTCTTGCAGTTAAAAAAGTATAAAGCTTCTTGAAAAGATTAATCTCATTTATTAAATACTAACATGAACGTTAAAGGGTTTGACTATTTTCATAATGAGTCTCATGTTATTGGATGTGAAAAGTGTTGTGAAAATTTTTAATAGACATATCCAACATTTTAATCAACTACTTAAACAAGTCAGCTAGAAGGAATGTATTTTGATGCATATAGTCAAGAACTATTGTCGATGTAACTAGTATCTTTTAAAATAATTTTTAGTTTGAAAGCCATGCTCAGCATGAATGAGCATAAAAGAGGAAAGAAATATCACCTTATGAAATTTTAAAAACTTTTTATTCTTCAAAACATATTCTTGACTGGTCTAGTACTATGTGGAACCTTTTAAAATACTTGCCTACAGGAAATATGGTGAAACCTGGTGAAATAAATATTTAATCGCATAGCTTTTCAATTGCCTTAGCAGGAACACAAAAGAGAGTGTAAACTCAGGAAACCCAGAAAATAAGACAGAGAAATGAAAAATGAAAAGCCCTTTCTAGTTAGACTGACCACTAAGAAGCACACATTTTATTTGCAAGCCTGTGTCTGCTAAAGCCATGTTTTAGTTAAATTTATCTGGGTTTATTTAGAACTTTAGAATAATAACAAAAGTATCTTCATGTTACATATTTGCATTCCTATCCTGTCCAGCTCTTTTTGTCCTAATTCTCTTAACTTTTTTAAACATATTTCCTAGTTATCCCTTCTAATTTTCCCTTTTGTGTTCAATTACTGTTTTGTTTTCAGTTGATGGACAATGACACAATTTAAAAATACTGTAGATATGATCATTCATGTCGTAAAGTTAGAAATTTTCCAGCTTTAAAATAATTATATAGAGTGGACATTTTCAAAATGTCCAGGAATGCAGGCAATATAAAGTGGAATAAGTTGCAGTTCTTGTCCTCAGTGAGTTCACTGAAACCCCATTTTTTCTATAATTTATCAGTTCAGTGTTTTATTATAAACAGTGACAATATCACAAATTACCCACTTTTAATTCATTCTACTCATTTATCAGCAGCATTTATTACCCACATTCTGATTTTCTTCAAATTTTACAGAAGAAGAACATTGGAACATCTCTTTCAATAACCTCTTTCAGTGACATTTTTCTTTATAGTGAATAATGTTCAGCTAAAAAAAACTGTTTTAATGCTGGTTTCCATCAGACTATGCTGAGATTTTTTTTCCCTAAGGGTCACATTTCAATATCTTTCTTAGAAAGATATTTGGAAATTATTTGTGGTGCACCAGTCAGTTCCATTCAGGCACACATCAGATGTGTGCCCGTGTGGGCGGCCCCAGCAGGGAGTATGGATTTAATTGTGCCCTTTGGTTTCTCCACATCACCCTGTTGTCTTTTTCAGAAGAGTTGAGGTGAATCAATAAAGAAGCAGATGTGTCAGGACAAGAAATAATAACTAAATGCTTCACTAGGTCTGAAGTATCCTAAAGAGTAATAAAGTGTTGATATTTTAGGCCTAGTATATAGCTTCACGTGTGGTTTTTCCTTTTATCTTGTACTTCTCTACTGAACCGGTTGAAGTTTGCACCATTTTCTGCAGCTCTCAACAAATATGGCATAACACTGTAGAAACATTTTCCTAATTATTTCAGTCCTTACAGGAGTGTGCTAGAGTGGCCTTTTCATTGACTACCTACTAGCTTTCTGCTACACTGATCTGTAGACTGCTATGGAGCAATCTCTGAAGCCAGACAGATCTGTAGTAAATACCCCTCAATTCCTTACCAGCTCTGCTTTCTCTGCTGATAAGATCACTTCAGATCTTCAGTGTCTCCATATGTAAACTTTGGATAATTAAAGAAACTACTTCATGGGTAATTATGAAGATTAAATATGAGAGTGTAAAGCACTTAGTTCTGTGTCTCACACAGAGCAGTATTATGTTCTTTTAAATTTCTGTCTTCTTTCAGTTCTCATGTTGTCTTACTGGTGTTTTCTTCTATTCCCTGTCTGAAGCTTACTGGCCCCTTATGCCCAACTCTTAATAAAGCAGTGCTCAACTGTGTCTTTGCTGCCATCTTTTGGTTTGGGGAAGTTTACCCATTTTTACTTGAGATATCCGAGCAGGAAACTATAGAGTTGTCTTGGACAACACTTTTCTTCATTACATGCATCTAATCAGTTACCAAGTCTTTTTAGTCAGGCTTCTTTCATTTAGCATAATGCTTTTGACATTCACCCAAGTTCATGCTTGTATCAATGGTTAGCGTCTTATTATGTAGTGTACCATTGTATGGATGCACCACAGTTTGTCCATTCACCAGCTTCTGGATACTTGGGGTCGTGTTCAACTTTTGGTAATTATGAGTAAAGCTGCCAAAATATTTTCATACAGGTTTTGTTTAGACATATGTCTTCATTTCTCTTGGGTAAAACCTAGAAATGGGTTGTATGGCAACTTCATAAGACACTGCCAAACTGTTTCCCACCCAGCTTGTCTGTATTATTTTGCAGTCTCACCAGCAGTGTATGAGAGTTCCAGTTGCTGTGTATCCTCCCCAGGATTTGGCATTGTTAGAGCTTTTTTTTTCCAATTTGGCCATGCTAATAGATGCATAGTAGATGAATGCCCTTTTTAAAAATCACATCAAATTATCAATGGGACCAATAAATACCAAAGGTCATTCACTATTTGAAATAAGTCAATGAGAACTTGCCACTAGAATTTGTAAGTTTAGGGCGAAGACAGTCCAGAATAAATATACAAAAGATATCAGTGTCTCCAGCAGACTGCTGCCCAACTAGAGATGTTAAATCTAGTACAAAGCAGAAATCTCAGAGTAAAATGCTTCCTAAAGACTCTTCAGCCTACTTTCAGCTTCGTATCTTCTACGTAGGCTTTGGCCAGTTGACAATGTTCCCTTCAAGTGTTCTGAATATGCACATGTTCTTTTAACCATTCTTGATATTCAGTCATACATCCTCGCTGTGTAGAGTGTAGTTGTGAGGAAATGAGCTTCATTTGTTTTCCTTGCTTTTGTCGTGTGGCATATGGCAAGAATAAGATCCCTAAGCAGTCTTCTTACCAACCTACTGCTCAAATTATATTTTTTCCCTTTGATCCTAGATAATACCACAAATAACATTCTACCAAATATGCTCTTCTTTTCCTAGAAAGATCACATTCTAACTGGCCAATAATTGTTTATTTTCCTGGTGTGAAGATGGGTTTTCTCCTTTTCCACCTGAGCCCTCCTGAGGAAGAGCTCAGATGACAGGCCAGGTATAAAGGTGTAGTCTGCAACCATAGGAAATAATCTGTCCCCCTGTACAAAATGACCTGGTTGACAAAACTTACAAGCTTAAAAGAACGCTTGTTTCCTAACCAGCTGAGATGAATGGTCCAGATGCTATTTTTATCATACCTATTGTTTCAGTCCCTTTCCTCCATGTCTATATAACCATACCCTAGCTTACAAATAATGATTATCTGTTTTCAGATGAGTTTACACATAACACCTCATTA